TGCCAATAGGTGTTCTCTAAATCACTTTTACCAGCAGGCTGACCCCATTATGTCAGCTAATCCTGGAAATACAGGAGGTAAATTCAAATCTTTTCACGTGAAACATTTAGTCAATATTCTTTTTCCTTTTTTAAAAGATTTTGTTCTGGCACAGCATTGGAAGTTTTATATTCCTGTCCATCTTTTGCCCCAGACTGTAACTTTCTGCTTTGTTGCAGTGCTTGGAGGATGAGGTCCAAGTACGACTTCTCCCAAGGGCCAGAGCAGGCAGTGCATTTGAAAGCACAGTGCTTATTTTTCTTTCAGGAAATGGAAAAGAAACAGAAAGCTCACAGGCTGTATGAAGGGATGGGGGAAAGAGGGTGCCAGGCATATGGACAAGTTAATACTGCTGCTCAGGGGATAAATTAAGTTCCCTTTGCCTCCATTCCAGCTTTATCATCCTAGCATTTGTACCGTCCCTTCATCAACAACACACCTCCGTGCTGCCCTTGTTTCCTGCTTAACTTCTCCCTCCACCCAATTACCAGACCATGAAGCTCCACACCTGCGGTGTCTTGATCCTCAGAATGCCACACTGAAGCTTTTAACCCTGTCCAAACACCTACACAAGGCTTTATAATATTTACCAGATGGGAAGCTACATTAAATAATTACAGTAAGTACTTCAAACACCAGATTAGCAGACCCTTACACAGTGCTGAAGAACTGCAAGAGGTGGATCTGCAAGTGAAAAGCACAGTCATTTTCAGTCTGTGAGTCATGCGTAAGTCCTGGTCTCCTCAGATAACTGTCTCTTGTTCATGCCCTAAGTTTTGCCATAGTAGATATTTTTTAAAATCCCAAGTTCACATGGAATTATGTGAATTTGTGAAAGAACAGCTTGCAATGTGACCCACGTCTGTTCTAAACACTCGCTAATCTTACATGCAAATACAAAGAATTGACATTTAAATATCTATATTTCTCTCTTCCTCCTTGTTCCCCATAAAATGTTTGAGCTTATTAATTCCTATCTCATAATTTTTTTAATCTTGCTGCTGAGAGTACAAAGACATTCACACACTGGACTTGACTGCAAAGTACTGGCCTTCAGTCTGAAGGGCCATGTATTTCAATTACAGGCATCCACTGCTCACATTTCTCCAAAAGCACAAAAACCTTAAATTCCCTCTGAATGCTGAACCAAGGTTAACTAGAGCAAGACATTTATAACAAACGTGGGAAAACAAAGTATAGAGCTAGCTAGGGAGCTGATAGATTTCAATGCATAAATTTACACTTAAACGTCCTTAACCAACTTGATTTCTATCACTTTTCACTTGTGCAAAATGTCTTCTAAAATATTACAGCAAACACAGTAGAAAGTCTTAGGTTTTTATTTATCTCTGCTGATGACATGGTAACAATTGGTCTAATCTAGACCAATCTATCATTTGAAGTTTATTTCATGATCATCTTTCAGCTCCATGCTTCTCTCCTAAATGCAGAAGCAGCGTTTTTGTTGAAGAATACATGGTGTGAGTACACATCGAACTCATTCTTTTGTCCCTTGCAAATAATCCAACATGACGGTTCAAGCAATGGTGGCAGAACACGAGACTGAAAGACCATGACCATTTTTTGACTGGTGTACTGAACACAAGTTACGATTGAGTATGAAGGATAAACAAATATGTCAGTAAAATAGAAAGCATTACAAAATGAATTGAAGCTATCGGAAAAAAAAAGCTGGGGACGGCAATTGCTTAAGAAAATGTTCATGTTTAAGAAGTGTGCTGTTGGCCTTCATCTTCCTCTCTGTTCACAATGTTTTATAAACTATTTTTATGTGGTGCTAAGGATCCTTTGCAATACATCAAGCACCTCAAAAATACTCAAATTTAGCATTTTAGATAAAACGAACTATTTTCCCTCCATGTTTAGCAAACTTTGTTAGAAGTCAGGTTTATAAAAGAGCTTATAGGACACTTGACGAAGTTAAGCATCTTCCTGGCAAAGATGGCGCATTGATTTAATTTAGGGGTAGAAAAAAAGAGTGCATTACACAAATCCATGCATATATAAACAAAAAATAAGCATATATCAGAAATCAACATTTCTCTGTATCAATTTGAAAAAAAAAAACCAGCATAATAGGACAACTGTAAATTTCTGTAGCAATGGTAAGCTGAAACAAAGAACAATTTCTAAACAACATCACTGAACAAAAATTATTTAGAAGTCCAAACCTCCAACAGATATTTGAAATACATATTGAGTACAGGTAAATAAAATGTAACTCATATTTGCTTCAAGCATTCACAACCTTTCCGGTTCCCAGGTTTGCATGTGTGCAGGAGAACATGGCACAGTGACAAAACCATTGGTGTGTTCTTGCTTTGCATACAACCCTTCCCAACAAGTCAGAAAAAAACCGATCAAAAATTGCTCAGCCAGTGACACGCTCGGCAGATTGGGTTAGTGCCCTGCATTTTACAACCCCAGGAGGTTAGCATTTGTTCATTTCTATGGCAATTTATACTAATCAATCACTTCCTGCTCTTTCTTCCCTTGCTGTATTTCTTTCTATGGCAACTTATACTAATCAATCACTTCCTGCTCGCTCTTCCTTCGCTGTATTTTTAAACCCACTAACTAGGATATGCAGCCTTGTAGTATCTCAATGATAATTTCCTTATCCCATCTCTGCCATTGTCTTTTTGTGCTGAGACTAATGCTTTTAATTCTACTTTTCACAGTGTTTAGGCTATATTGCCTTTTTGAAACCTTTCAGCACAACTGCTAAGTGTACAACAAAGCCCTTCCCATTGCTTTTGGTCGCACTAGTTCATGTTTTGAGAATACTACAAAGGCATATTTTTCATGGGAGGAGTGCCTTGGAATGAATACACCTCTCCAAGTGTGATATGAATGCCTCCAGTTCTTTTGTAAAATTTGCATTGAGGTTTAAGTCTCACATGCAAAGTGGCACCACACTGCCCAACAAAGAGAGGTTTCTTTTTAAAAAAGTATGGAGCTTGTTTTGGCTCTATTTGTCAGTTATTTTTTGAAAAATGCATTAAAATATAGGAGCTTTGTTCTTCATGTTTCAGTTCTGACACAAGGAAGTAGTGAGCACCAGAATGTTGTACTTCACAAGAATAAAACGTCTTGATTCACATAACTTCAGTGACCTTTTAGTGCAGACTTATCTAGAGTTTCTAAAAAGCAGCAGAGATCATTTATTTAAAGGAAACTGTTTTCCCCACAGACTTTTACTTCTTCTATCAAGTATATCAGGGATACACTTGAAGTCATAACGTAGCCTTGAACTCATGTGGGATGTGACTTCAAAATGCCAGAGTAATAGGATAAGGACAGGGAAGAATTTCATGCATTTTCAAAACACTGCAACATCTATTCAGGCTTGAGGAACATTTGCAAATCAAACTGAATCCAGTGGGATTTGTTATCGCTTGCCATTTCTTCAGTTCATTATTTATCATGTGTACTTTGGTAGCATCTGGAGACCTTACTCTATAGGGGACTGTACAAACACTGAAGGAAAACGTGCTCTCTCCTACAAAAGAACTTTTTAATATAACATGAAGTGAACCCCATCAAGGTCTTGCTTTAAATGCAAGATATTCCAAGTTCCAGGTTTAAAAGGTTACATTTCTTTTTATCATATTCTATATGGTCAAATGACTATCGCATATAGAAATATATGCCTACAACTATGTCACTCTCATCAGTAACTTAGAACTTACGTAACTAATAAATAATGTACAGATAGAAAAAACAGAATCAAAACAGAAGGGCCTAAACTCAACACCATCTACCATTAACCCCATATACTTTATGACTGCATCATGCCTCTGAAAAATGTTAATTCATATGCAGCTTTCCAATGCAAAATAAATGGAGAAACTAGAAAAGGATGAAGATAAGAGTGGTGCAGGAAAAATTACGCAGCAAATACATTTCCAATGGGCAAACTGTCCATTTCAGTGAACATGGAAACTTTGATACAGTTTAATATGAATCAATTTTTTATAAGTGAAATGTGAATGCTGCAAGTGTGGAAGAGTTTGTAAATCCAGAAAAAAAAAGTATCTTAATACTAGATGAGACCTTAAAACTTGGACATTTCTATTTGTGTCACATAGCAACTTTCCTTCTGTAAAAACAGAAATAAACAGGCCAAGCTGATCTATCCCTGACCTAATTTTGCACTTAAACGACCAGAAATTTTTATAACCTGAGATTCTAACCTGGCCTAGGGATGTTTTCAGCTTACACTTCCTGTTACCTCTTTCCTTTTTTTGATTTTTGCAGTTGTCTTCTGCCTAAGTTCTTCAGACTTTCTAAGAGCTGTATATGCTGCCTTCAGCAAGTAAAGAGCCTCTTTAAATCCAGAATCAATGATGCACCAGGAATATCCTAATTGAAGTGTCAAAGAATTGCCACAGCCACTGGCCAAAATCCCATCATCACCTTGACCCCAGGTCAGGAAAACGCCTGATACAAAACAGCTTCTATCTTTGTCCAGCTTCTTCACCATGAAGTCTGTAGCACCACATTTTCTCTAATATCCAGACCTACTCAGCCAAAAAACCTCTTAACTTTACTGCCAATAACATAAGAAAGAAGGCAGCAGGACATGCTAGCTGACATTAAGAGCTCCCTCTGAATTTGGATTACTCAGGGGATTAATTTAATCTGACATATCCTGGCAGAGTTTGGAGAGTGCAACATTCATATCCAAACCTATGATAACATATTAAATACTATGCCCAGTTTCTGAGTCAGAAAGGCAATAAAGTCCACTTTGAAATATGCATTCTTCTGATTTAAGTATCTGATATTTCACAATATCCGACTTGTACCTACAATATGGGAATAAACAGATATTCCAATTTAAGCAGGCATCTACTTATGCAGCAGGAGACTACTCTGTACACATACCTATGAAAAGTTTTCATTTACACACCGCAACAAGTACAAGTCTCTCTTACCTGCAGGTTTGCACATGCTGGTGAATCATTGTGGGTGGGTATTTCATTGTTGGTGGTCTCTGAACCTGTGTTTTTAAGTCTGGAAGCTGTTGTAGTTGTGGCTGTAGTGGTCTGAACTGGTAAGATGGGCTGCCACACATTCACATCAGTACCATTGCCGAAGGCCTGAATTGCATTTTCTGTAAAAACAGATTACAGGCAAGTTTCTATTTCTAAACAAATCGCAGAAAGCAGAGCTGACTTTTTAATCATCATCATTATTATTATTATTCCATTGAAAATGTGTATTGACAGAAACTCAATTTTTATGCTGAAAAATGTGTCTTAGTTTTGAACATATCAGAAACATGAACTGAGACAGTCTGGGGTCGCATAATTATCTGATTCAGCCTCCTCTTTGTAACGTTCCCAGTAATCCTAGACAGAAGCTCTAGGACTTACTGTAATCATATTTTTTACCATCCAAAAGCCTCAAAAATTTATTTTCAAGTTTTAAAACACATTTTGAATGTTATGTCCTAATTCGGGCAGGTGATGTTATACAGCAAACTAAAAACAGAGAGGAGGCAAAATATTAATTTATTTCTACAGCTTGTTGCAGTTAAACTAATATGCCTATAACTGCAAAATGGTTTAACTAAGACAATCTTCTCCTTACAGTTTTCAATCAAAATCTGCATAATTAGGTGAGGGAAGCGGGCTTAAACTAAAACTTTAGAATATAAAAGTTAAAAAGCTTATCATAGTTTCACGGGATTAAAGAGTGTGTTTATGGCAAGAGTAAATTGGTTGAGGTTTTTTATAAACAAATAGAAAAACACTTTTTAATCAGGTCTTTGGGGATTCAACATGGATTTAGGGATTTCTTATTTCAAATTCTTTGTACAAGAAATCAAACAATTTCACTGGGGACTAATATGTGGAAGCTATTAATACTTCTTCTCAGTGGTATTCCTTGCCTTATAAAATAATTTACATTTAATTCTCATCTGAAAAAGATGTATTTTATTCTGATATTAGTTCTTAGAACTCCAACTTGAAAAAGGCACCACAATCAGCTGGGTTGAAGGAGACAAACTGGGAAGAGTGGAATGACATTTTTCTTAGTTTTACCTGAATAAAGCAATATATAAAACAGTATTTTCTTATGATTTCCTAAATTGACAGTAACTTGATTACTGCAAGAAGGATCACAGAAATACATGCAATCTTTCCAGTTTTCTAAGTAAAAGTGGTCTTTACAATTATTTGCCTTCAATGATTTCATAGAATCATACTCTGTGATTCTTATGGGTCGCTTTCATCTTGAGATACTTTATGATTCTATGATAGATCCATTAAATAGTTTGGGTTCAAAGGGACTTTTAAACATCATCTATTCCACCCCCCCTGCAATGAGCTGGGATGCCTTCAACTAGATCAGGTTTCTCAAAGCCTCATTCAACCTTACCTTGAATGTTTCCATGGATGGGGCAACCTGTTCCAGTGTTTCACCACCCTTGTCACAAAAAAAATTCTTCCTTATATCTAGCCTGAATCTACTCTCCTTTAGTTCAAAACCATTACCCCTTGTCCTAACTCTACAGGCCCTACTAAAAACTCTGTCCCCATCTTTCTTATAAGCCCCCTTTAAGTATTGAAAAGGTACAATAAGGACTCCATGGAGCCTTCTCTTCTCCAGGCTGAACAACCCCAACTCTCTCAGCCTGTCCTCACATGGGAGGTGGTCCATCCCTCCTCATATTTTCATAATATTTCAAACATATAAATGATATTTTAAATATGTGCTTTATGTATACGATTTTAATACGTATTTCAAATATATTACAAAAAACATAATGACTGTAAGGAGGTGCTTCAAGTGTCTAACTGCTTTTGCAAAGGTCCTTTCAATAATTTTTATTAACTAACTCATTGCTTTATGTTTATCCTCCCACTTGACAGCTCTTTTTACTTCAGTATAAAGCAGATGTGAACAAATCCTTTGAACAGATAGGTAGATGTACTGAACCCCATTCAGTTCAGTAGGAATTCTAGAGTATGTAAATGAATGTCAGGACATTCACTTTCCGAGTAGCAAAAATAAAATCTTAAAATGGTTTTCCAGAATTTAAGATTGGACAAAACCTAACTGAAGAGGCAGCAATTAGGACCACTGTAATATTACCAATAAACTTGTATCTTCCAATAAAGGGGGTAGAAGTACAAGAAAGTTAATACACAGCTCAAGATTTTAGGGTGGAATAGATCTTATTTGGGGCCTATTAATTAGGATTTTTAGCTTTCTTGAGATTAAGCCAATTTCACAGTTCTGATATAAACTCATATGCTGCAGGACAATGTTGAGATAAAGAAACACTATATGTAATACACGTAAAATGCAGTGTTTCTCTTTGTTGGGACTAATTGTTAAAACAGGCTGGAATGGTCACCTGTATTTTCACATCTACCTTTTGACATCAAAACTTCCACTCTAGTTTCAACTCAACATCTGTTGCAAAAGGCTTTTCAACTCTACAGTGGCATTTCTCGGCAAGCGCACAGACAGACTCATGAAAGATAAGGTTTTCAGGTGTGTATGTGGGACATGGTAAACTCAGCTTCATATCCCAGCTCCACATCAAGCACAGTATGAACGTGACCCTAGGTCTCCGAGGTTTCTCAGTCCCCTGGCCCTCAAGGTATGGTCGCAGATATTCCAGTTTGCATAAAGAACCCAATGAGTTTTTGAATAAACATCTAAGCTATGTTTTCCACATCTTCTGTAAATGCCCCAAATCACTGGTTTATTTTCCAGTTTGGAATTCCTAGTTTCATCCCATTGTGGAAAAAGGATTTTTGTTTTGTCTAAAGAAAGTGGGAGGGATTTTAATCTCATCCAACAAACAAAAGACATTTTCTTCAGACACTTTAAACCCCATTATTGACAATAGCCATAAGAAAAAATAATGATTTTTTCCCATTCTCTATAAGAGAAAAAGCTTTTTATTAAACCAGAAACATCTTTAATTTCTTCATGAAGAAGACATCTCTTACAGCTAGGATGACTATAATTTGTCTCACAGTAACCTCTAATGTCTTTGATTTATCTTCATTAATGCTTTTATACTGATAGCAGAAGAAAGGACAAGGGATCATTCTGTCTTTATGTTCTAAAAGGAACAGGTATCATTCTAGCAATTAATACATTCACTAATGAATAAAATCTGATGTATTACAGTATATGTAAATGGCAGCCCCATTAGTTTTGAAGAAGGTCTGATGCTATATTGTTAAATTTTATCCAATCATAGTCTGAACTGTTTTCTGGGTATTTTTTCTTAAATGACCTTGAGGATTGATCCATTCTTCCAAAACTTAATAAGCAGAGTATCAAATAGCAACTCAAGTCACTCAGTTTTTGTATGCAAATCTCCCCATGTCTTCACAACATGCTGCCTGTTGAGAAGATACCAATGGAGATTTTCAGATCACTATACTAAAATACAGCATTAGCTCAACTACATAGGGCTGGATAGGACAGTCTGGATCACGGAGTTAATTTGCTATTTTTGACAAAAAAATCCCAACAAAAAAATGTATGCTTCTTTTCATAAGCCACTGAAATACGTCTTTTTAAAGCCAGTAATAATTTTTTACCCTCAACACTCCTTTCCAAAACTGGAAAGCCTATTTCTTAACTGTAGTCTGATGGTTAAAATTTTCTAATTCTGAGCCTACACAGGTATGGCAAATATCTCCCTTTTTGATCTTGTGCCAACATCGTCCTCTAGGTTAAATAATTCTTTTCCCTCCTTGGGCTTGCTCCTCTAATGCAATTTCAGAGGACAATCACGTATCCTTTCAACTTCTGTTCTGCTAGGCTAGGGAAGCCAAGCTCTTTTGGTCTCCTCATTCATCTGAAATTAAAACTCTGATGCACACTCCACATCATCCAATTATGGTGCTCCAGGCAGACAGGAAATTTGAAAAGAGAACTTGCCAAAATTGAGTCCACAGAGACATTCTGAAATTTATATCAGTCCCTAATTTGGAAGTGAATTTGACTGAAAAAAAAAATCAATGATTTAACAATATCTTGAAAATAGGTACCATCCAGGCTTGTGCTAAAACCAGGCATCTGACATCAAGTAGCCTAAAAACCTTGAAACTTGGCTATAAATTGAAAACGCAATCCTATTTATGCCTACCTACAGCAAATGTCTCTTTTTATATGAAGTTTTTAAATTATACAGAAGCCTCTCAGCTGTTGCAGTCTTTTGGTACAGATGCTGCCTAACTGTTAGGGTCTGAATACAATCTGTGATGTAAACATACTTCTATACAATACAATCTTGCTCTTTGATTTTTTTCCCCCCTCAAGAGCTTCTCATGTTTGTAATCTTGGCCACAAACCACAGTATCAGCCATATTTTCTTGTTTAATTCTTACACCTACAGCAGAACCATGCTCACAAAGTGCAAAGAGATGGCCTTGATGTATCGTAACATATTTAAACAGTAAAGAAATTCCAGAAAACATGGCAAAACGCTTTTAAAGACATTTAATTTTATACTCACTAAGGCATGTATTGTCCTGGAAGAAATTCAGAAATTTCATGCATTCATCTCTGTCGTTACCGCTGTTGCTGCAGTCACACCATGGGGCAACACTGAGACTGTTTGAGTCTATGTAATTTGGTGTCATCACTGTGCCTATTAACAAGAAGTTAAATGTGAGTACTGTGAGAAACCTTTGTACTGAAATATCCTTTCCATACTAAGAAGGTAGCAAACAGCACTTGGTAAATCATGTATTCAGAGCTGGATTCACAATGCAGACCCATAGCAGGCTTCTAACGTCCAGACATAACAGTTCCTGTTTCCCTTTGCCCTTTGACACCCAGCCCTGTGCCATACTTCACACCTTTGGTTATTTGGATGCAACCACTTCAGGGACTATAACATGACTCATGCATTAAAGACCCGTTCCCTTCCTCCAAAAAGGTTTATATTGCATTTCCACATAGAGCTGCATCAGCAGAACTGACTGGTGGAAAACCATGGCACAGGGGAGGGAGGGACTGGGAGAAGGCGAGAACCTCTTAAAAGGGCTTTGCTGCCAAATCAAACATATGTGGTCCTGCACCCTCAGAGTTGCTCTCTAAAAATCCAATTTTTCTTCCTTACTTGTGTTTTTCCTCACTTTTTGTTCTACCTACAAATAAATGGCTGATACAAGACATCCAGACCTGAGCTTCCTCCTAGGGTCTGCAGGCAACCTAGAAAAACAGTGCTGAAACACATGAGCAAGGAGAACGCTAGTCATGCTGAGAGGAGCTCTAATACATCTTGGAGGAGAATTGACCCCAAGGTGCTCGTTATGGACCTGTCAACAGAGTGGGTTATGGTGATGAACAAAGCAAAAACATAACCAGCAAGCATGAAAAGGTATAGTCAATTCTTTGCAGGTAATAAATTACTATTAATCTTGCTGTGTCACTAATTTTTCAGTACAGTGATTGTTTCCTAAACATTGTCAACCACTTGCAACCACAGGTTCATTCTAACTCTATTACAAATTCCTGGGTAAATATTCTCATATTTATATGTCAACTCAAGGCTACCAAGAATGAAATGAAACCTGAAGAATGAAATGAAACTTAAAGAATGCATTTTGTGTCCTAAAAGATTTACAGCAACTCTTCATCACTCATCTGGATCAGGCAACTGTTCTATGATCTGCATTTACTCAAACCAGTAGTCTTACTGGATGAATCATCCCAGAAGGTCAGAGATTTCAAACTTCCCTAAAGATTGAGAAGTTCAAACTTTTCTTTTATTTGTCTGATCAAGCAAGAAAAATTAAATAAAAAGGGGCAGGTATTCCAGCCTTGTACAGATGACTGCTGTTTCAAGAAACACTTCCCTCACTTAGTAATTTACAGTTCTAGGACAGGCCATATATCATGAGGAAATGTGATCACATCTCCTCAAAACTGACATCAAAGTAGTCATTAAGAAGATGAAATAGATGAAGGATAAATATTAGAGAGCCAAAGTGTAGACTAGCAGAGAAAATTTTGTCCATAGGTCCTGGATCCAAGAGTCTGCAATAACACATAGGAAAGGGCTATCAAACAAGCTAAAAAAAGGATCATTCAAAATAATACAAATCACAGAATGACATTAAATGGCCTTTCAGTCACCAGGAAGTGCTGGGAACTGAACAAATCAACATGCAAAATGCTTCATACATGACGTGGGAGACAAAGGAGAAAAGACATTAAGGGCTGGCCTGAGAAAGGCAGTAATGTATGTGAAAATGAATGCAGTCCCACTGCCAAACTCACAGAAAAGCATCCTTTGTCTTGCTTTACGATCTTCTGAAATTAGAATGCAGTCCCATACCTTTATCTACTTCCAACTTTTAGCAGATAGTTGCAGTAATAATTGCTCAAATTCTACATGAGATTAGAACATGAGTAAATAGCACAGTTCAAAATTTATTAAATGGAGGTGAGAATTTAGTAAAATAGGCAAATATCATTTGCACCATTAATGAAAACTTGGCAGTGGATAAATAAGAAGAGGAATGACATTAAATTAAAATAAACCAAATGAAACATCTGTCCATTATCCATGTGATGGTTCAGTACACTATTTCAACCTTGTCACATGATCTGAAAAGAAGTGAGAGAAAACGAAAGTCAAGAGGATTTTGCAAATGGAAAGAAAACAGTAGGCTTAAAAAAAAGGTTAAGTAGCAAACAGTGAAGGGTTAAAAAAACAGAAAGGAACTGAGGAAATTAAAAGTGTCACTGAGGTAAGACTTTCTTATCATGAAGAGGTAATAAGGTAATTAAAATGGGTCAAGACAAGGGGTTAAAAGTGTAACAGATACCAAGCTATGATTAGGGTTGATGAATACAGGAAAGACAGCACAAGGAATGTGTATACACAGCACTCAAAGTGTACATCCAGCAAAAACAGAGTGGCTGAAAGAGCAGCTAGTAGAAAATCAGTCTGTCATTTAAACCTGGGGGCAGATGTGAACCCAAGCGGATTATCTGCTTCGTTTCCTGGGGTGGATTTTCGTTTTTCCCTGCAATGTGTGTGCCTTCCCCTCCTCCCCCTGCCCTGCTAGCTGGCGTCTTGGAAATTCTGCTGAAGGACACTAAAGGATCAGAGAAACCATGGCGGTTGGCAGGAAAATAGGACATTCTTGGTTTTCTGCGTTCTTCCTATCAAATAATTCTGTGATGGTCTCAGTAGCAGGCAGTTGGGTCTCCACATTTCAGCCAAAAGCAGAGTTGGCCTGAACACAGCCAAGAAGTCACTCAAATTAGGGTCAATTATGAATGAGATGAATGGCGAGTCTACGAGGAGGGATATGTGACTGAAGTTCCTTTGGCCCAATGCAACTCCAGTTTATTTACATAAACTCTCATGGAATTCCTGGGAATGCCAGGGAAATTAGATAGAATTTATGGAAAGAAAGAGAAAATGTGTCAGAAAGTGAACGCTAAAGCAGATCTTGAAGTCAGCAGTTAAAGCAATACCTAACTGACATGGGAGTGCAGACAGGTCCAGATGGCTTAACCAGGCTGTAACCAAACCACTGAATCTCAAACATGGCTACCTCCAATCTTATTCTCCCTTTAATAATTTTCCTATTTCTTCTTTATTTTTTTAAAACTAATTTATCCCTACTAATATAACAAGGAACCTAAAGCAATGATTTCAAATTTTCAAAATTCCTGTAAAATCTATCTAACACCCAGATGCAAACCTTAAAGGATCCTATATAGACTGTTCTCCGTTTAACTGGCAAAGCACCTGATACAAAACCTGCCAGACTTTATGCCCATTTAAGTAATTTATTTCAGATGGGATTCCACTAATTTCAGTGAAGTTAACTCTGATTTACATCACTGTACGTGACAGCAGACTCCCATCCACTGTACCTTCCATAGAGAATCCCCAATTTCCTGAACAAATTCTATGGAGGCACAATTTTCGCTACTTTTAATGAAATGGCTAAATGAAATAATATTTTATCTTAATGAACAATATTTTACCTTAATTAAAACACCTGGAGATCTTGAAGCTCTGATGAATGAATGGATCTATAACAGTTTGTAACCCACAGTCTATCTCTTCTTCCTGTGTTTTCTATATATTAAGCAGACATTTGAAAGATGTACCTCTGATTTCTATCTCAGCATCTTACAAATTTGACGATCTTCACATAATTTAATCCACTTTTATATCAGCTTGATATCAAAAGCAGGAATTTACTGCTTCAGCACATAGAAGTTTTGGTTTGGTAATTTCCTTGGTTTATCAGAATTACTACCAAGAAGTAAAAACTCTTGTAACACTGCTTAGTACTCATGTTTTTGAATGTAACTAAGGGCTAACAGAAAGGAAGAAAAATGTTTATATTTCCCTTTGAAAAGCAGATTTCCTTTTGAATTCAACTCCTTATGGATCCATTTCACATTTCTGATGTTTTGCAGCATGGACATCCCCAGTAACACAGAAACACCTGACTATAGGAACTGGGTCACCCTTGGGGTTAAATTGAAAAATGGATCCAACAAAACTGCCAGGAAAATTCACTAGGTCCAGCAAGAACTTCTTGGCAGCTCTTACCCAGAAGTGTCTATTAGTAGCAGTTACTCTTTGCCAGCAGCAAGACTTCTTAATCTCATTGACTGGATCAGATTTCAAGGCTATTCAATTCTTTGTTTTAGAGTCAAATGACATTCTGTCATAACTGTTCATATGTTATACCCTTTAGATACTGTCTTCATCTCTTAAGTCGTAGAAGGATATCCTTTGAAACCATCACATCTTATTTTACCAGTTGCCACATGGATTTACCTCACTTGTTAGCTGTTACAGTAAGAATGATAGTAATAAGGCAGCAAATATAGCTTTCAGTCATTTTTCAGCAAAACCAACCTATTTTTGAAATATTTTATTTTGGATATTATCTCCAGAGACATTTATTTAACAGCAGGATCTGCTTCAGGGCCTCAGCTGGGACCTTCACGTCCAACAGAAGCAGATATTACTGCACTGCAGCAGGTGCAGGCTGTAAGCTTAAAAACATCTTATCTGGTGGCCTTTCAAATGTATTTGTTTCAGAGTTTTGACATTCACTTATTCTTTATTGCCCAGCCATTGTATTTCTACAACAAGTTCACCTTCCTGAGATGATCTTTCTTTCAGGAAACCAATACTGTGTGCGGTATATGGAGTCTGGCTTGCAGAGAGGCATCTTTGGGCTTGCTGACAGTCAGGAAGGTGACAGCAAACAAGATTAATTATGTTGGCGAGGGAAGAGGATTTTAGAAGAAAAATTTGGTCTCGGTTCACCTCCATTGACAGGCACCTCAGAACACACTTAGAGTGGTCAGAAGGACGTCATGTAAAGAATAGCAGCTGGAAGTGAAACAAGGCTGGGTTGCTCTATTGTCTCATTCCTCAAAAGTCTTGCAAACATTCCCTGAAGATGAAGAGGTATTTACCCAACCTTGTGATGACAGCTGCAAAATCAACCAAGCTGCAGTTTCACTTGTTCTGTTTAACCTTCTACTTCATGGTCTTGTCCAAATTCAACCACCTGAATAAGCTTTTCTTTGTAAGCTTGAATTTATCTCAAATCCAAGCACCTTTCTCTCCTTATCTCCTATCCTTAATTTCCTTGTAGTGCACAAATTTACCCCAGGAATCTCTGTAAGAGAAAACAGGGCCAATACACTTAGGTGGAGAATTTTGCCTACTATCATATTGTACATGTATTATATTCCATAGTTTTTATTTGACGTAGGCCTTCAAAATATAGCTTGGATGTTTTTCTTAGACAGAGCAAGCCCCTACCCTTCTCTGCCATCTTACCAATAAGCCCCGAGTAAGCGAGGAGGCAGTCAGCATAGTTCTCCTTCAGACAGCTACTAACAGACCGTGACTCAGGCTGGCAGTTTGTGAAGAAATCTGCGAGGCGAGATCTGTAACATGAAGAAAAATGCGTATCTTTAAAAATCAAGCCTGCGGGCATTCTTACCTTTTACACTTGTTTTATTTTTGGACATGGCTTAATATTTTTTAACTTAAATATATATTGGACACATTTCAGCTGATGAGAGTCTCTTGTTAAGATGCATCTCTTTCCAGAATCCATTTTTGAAGTCAGAACAAAAAAGTGTAAGAAAACAGTAAAAAGGGACAGAAAAACAGAGAAATGCCTGCTCTTTACTACAAGAAATGCTCTATATTTTCATGCCAAAAAAAAAGACAAAGAGCAGTTTTATCATACGAGGAGTCATTTTGACTGGATCTGAACTTTAACTGAAATCTATTATTCTACAGAAGCAGAACACAGTTTCTGTTGTTTCACTGATTACACAAAATGGTATGTTTGTGCTCACAGAGTCCTCTTACACCACTACTTGATCCAGGACCAGCTTTGGTCCTGTCCTGAGTTTCCATGGATTGGGCTTACCCCTGCTCTGGACTGGCTGACCTGGGGTAGCAGGCAGATCCAGATGGCGTGGTCCCCACAGCCCTCCGGTACTGAGAATCTATTTGTTCCTGTAAAATGTGGATTTATCCAAAATCTACATTTACTGAGCTTGGGGCTCAGAAGAAGGGAATGTGTGCTCTGCATCCAGTTCTGCTGCTGAATGGCCGTATTATCTCCACTTACCTCAGATACCTCATGTGCAGGAGGGGGAGAGCACTGCTTAGTTATAGAAAGTGCTTTAAGACTAGAACTGAAGCAGTATTGCAATTAACTGATTACTGCTACTTTGGAAAACAAGAAAAGGACTAGCAGACAGGAACTTTTCTGGTTATTTGCACTCTACGGGCCACATAACACTCCCACTGAGGTCTGTATAATTTAAGAGGCATCGCTGAAGGGGGTGAAGGCCCCACATCCCACAGCTGCTCTCCTGCGTGTCTTGGCCCACTCTCCTCAGCTCTGCTCACGCTTTCACTTAGGCTTGTAAACTTCCTGAAGCAGTGACTTTTGTTTATTTATAAAGTGTCATTTAGGCCTTTGTCTCCATGAACAAAATCATTTAACCCCCTGCTTTGATCTTCTCTGTAAAAAAGGGATGAAAATGTCCTTTTGCATATACTAACTCACTGTGCTGTTTCAGGATCAGGTGCTTAATCTTTGCAAAGGCCTCTCAAAATCAGAATTGTATCATCTATTCATTTTCAGCACTGCTCTAGCATCATGCAGATTTGCAATATAAACAGCCTTTTTTAGTTTTGCAACGAAAACACAAAAGTTAGCAGAAACAAGTGATTTGCGAGTGGTTTACTTTATTTGTTTACATGCTCTAGAGACTAATTATCTTTGTTGGCTTTATTGTTTTACCTATCTCAGAATGGGATTGGATGTACATCGTTAATTGGCCTGAAATTAGTGATGGGCAATCTTCAAAAGGTTCACATGCTTAGTTTGAGAAAGCATCCTATAAATAGACTGTGTGCAAACTCTATCTGAATTTATCTGAGCTTTTCTCATGACCTCTTTATAGTTCCATCCCTCGCTAAATGTACTGACACCAGCAAATCCATGGGTGTCTTCAAACCACAGTCAACTACAAGCTCTTCACTTGTTTGCTTTCCTTATTTAATCATTTAAACCTTGAGATGGGACATCTGTGCCCAATACCTTTAAAAAGTCAAGCTCTCTACCAATGCTTCAAGATGCTCTGTATGTATACATAAATTTATGTATGCATAAATTTATGTATACATAAATATATACTGTACCTACCAGGGGACAGGCTGAGAAGAAATTAATTCCAAGGTATGGGAAGAGATAAACAGCAGCACTATGAAGAAAATCTGGGCAAGGAAACCCTGTGTCACTGCGGTGATTCCTCTCTCAGTCAATAATTAAGATAGTGGCTGGGATCCAGTTTTCTGAGCATCTGGAACATGGACAGTTGACAGTTTCTAAGGTCTTTAAAAATTCTACTGATACCTGGACGAAGTCTGTTTTAGGACAGAAGAGAGCCTATTACATCTATCTTGTATGAAAGACCTTTGTCATGGTAGAGGGAATACGTGGAGTATTTTTGCATTCCAAAACAAAGTAGCTCCTCAGATTTCAATTTTATTATTTATGTGACCACAAACAAATCTTTTTGGAGATGCAATTATACGATCAGCAACTTGAAAATCCTAAAAACATTTCTTGCGATCATTTCATCATTCTTAAGTGTCCGGTTCTCCCTTAGATTATTAGGTGCATTGGTCCAGAGATCATTTGATACATTCCTCTTCTCTAAATGTTTTTCAAGACTGATAACTATGGAATAAAACCAATCATTTACTACCCAGCCTGCTTAAAGAATTTATTTGTTGTAAACCCTAAAGGAGGCAAAAAATTGTTCTGCTGATCCCTTCTGCTTGATTTCTATGTTAATTTCTGAAGGATTTTTGTGGTCGTAAAGGGTAATGATCTGACAATGCTGCACATTTAAGTTTTCATAAGCCAAATATAGTTCAGATAGCTCTGGTCCAAGCATTACTGGACATCATCATGCACCTCCTCCCTAGTGAGCCATCCAAGCTTCATACTATCAAAGTGCTCTCTCCTGAGCTGTTAACTACACCTGAAATTTATGTGGAATCATTTCCACTGGAGATAAAGTTAAGGCCAGAAAATAAAAACACAGACAGACCTCTATCTGCCTTAAAATAACTCCATTATTTTCAGTGAAGTTCTGCTGATTAAGGCTCACTGAAGATCTACCCCCAAACATTTCCAGTAGAGTGGCACTGATGAAAGTGTGCGCATCAGCAATACCAAAACAGTGGTACTGCTATTTATCTAGAGAGAGACAAATTACTCTAATTAGGAACTGTAGAATCATTTATTGTAAAGTATTGCACATGATATTAAGAGTTGTTTGGGTAAAAGAGACAGTTCTTTAAAGATGCTATAAAAGAGCAATCAGATGATAGCGGTGCTGTAAAAAATGCGCACACTGTGTTAACTTAGGGTTCATCCAGCAGGAAGCAACTCATGGGTAGTAACTTGTGGGTAAACGTTTAATCCACGACGGAGCAGTTGGTAATCTAAGAGGACAAGCAGAGCTTGCAAAGTGCGTGTCTTCAAGTGTGTACGATTTTACATGTGCAATGTACATATATGTATCCACATGTCAGACAGCTGGACAGAGAGAGACGGGCAGTTCTGTATTGTACATAACATGTAGCAGGACCACATTTAAAAAGAGCTATTAATTTATTTTTCTGTTGAAGAATCACACACCCTCTTTGTGCACAGCAACATTAATGTGCTGTTTTTTCCCCTTCCCTTGCATGAAAACAAGGAACTGAAGAGAACCTTCCAGAAATCTTCTTTGTAGGAAGGAAAAAAATAAATCTTCTCTTTGTAGGGCAAAAAACCCCACAAATTCAATGAGTCCTATCTCAGCCCTGGAAAATCTCCTCAAAGTAAACTGCAGATCTTCTGGAAAGCTTACTTTAAATATTTTGTATACCACTAACTGAAAAAATAAGAATAATCCTATTGGCAAATTCAAAGAAAATCTGCTCAAACAACAAAAAGTCTTTCTGAGAAGAGGAAAACAAAATCCCAAACCTGTTATTCTCTAATGCTTTGTGTTAGCACCAGTAAAATCATTTGTAACAGTTAAAAATACAAAGAAAACAATGTTAATTTGTTTCCTTATGATAGTGGTTCTTCAAATACTCAGCAGGATAAATCAAAAGTTTCAAATTTTGCTTACAAATAAGCTTTGGTAATAGCAGTATTGTGTTTAATCTGCATACAATTTTTGAGGCAATTTAATTTTATATTAGCACAGCCTGTTGCATGGGCGACATTGATTAGGTTCTCACTATTTTTTATTCTCGAGGTTTTGCCAAAGTTCTTTGATGTTCTGAAATTATCTTTGATACTTATCAGTACTCTCTCTTTAAAGGTGATCAACTCAACTTCAGCACTGGTGCAATATTTAAAAGCATGATATAAATGATGAAGTTGCAGAAAATTTCTAAAACTGCATTGTCAGTTTGGATCTGGTGTAAATCAGAGGCTATTGGAAAGGAGCTCTACGAACCGGGCACAAGGCTCCTCCCCAAGAGGTACCCCTACCGCTGGGCAGGCAGGCACTGATTTCTCTTACTTCTTTTTTCTGGCTGTACGCATCTTGAATTGCTGGTACACAGGGGCTGAGCTGAGAGAGAGAGAAATCTTCTCTCTTAGCCTTGCCTTTGCAAGACCCTGAATTCAGATCTCCACACACGTATGCTGCGATGTCCGAGTGAGAGGTTACAACTCCTTGCCCTGTTAGCGAAAGTGAGGAGCGATGGACGCTCTCCTCTGCGCTCACCTCGGTGATGTTGGGTGAAGACTGGACATGCTCACTACCACCTCTCTTGTGTTGTCTGCTTGTGCTTAGGTACCTATTTCTGGCTTGACATCGGTAACATAGAGAGTACGTAAATGCCAAAGCTGAGTGACTGGGGTGACTACGCTAATTAGTCAAAGCTGCTCTAGCGTCTAGACACCATTTGGCAGACACAGTATAGTCACGTAAGGGAAGTGCTGCATCAATATTCAAAACAGAAAAGGAGTATAAATCTGACACTGAAGAAATTCAGACTAAGTCAATGAATATGTGTCACAGTGATAAATGACACCATTATAGAAAAAAAACAAGCTGAAATACTTGTTCTTCTTTTGTGGGGGTCAAATGCAGTATCCTCCTCTGTAGCTACAAATAGGTCCTGTATAGCTTGGGTGGTGCTACTTCTGCTGGGATGCAACAGTGGCAAGAGGGGTGGCGTGTGCCCAAACTAATGGCTTTGTAGTTAGAGGAACTTTTAGTTTTCTCTTTGTTTCATAATCACACAGTGAGTGGGCAGCAAGAAAATGAGGGAAAGGCTACAAAAGAAACTCTATCAACAAGTGAGCAAAAAAAAAGCCTCTGAGCAGCTCCATCACAAGAGAGATTACCCTCCCAACACCTACTAATATAGCTTTGATCCATTTTTTTCATTAGAAGACACTAGAGCTGTGTAATACTAATGCATCTCATACCTCCTTAGTTATGTACACACACTACTGAGCACCTGTGAACAAATTTTGACAGTTTTTCAAAACGGTCATTTCTACATCTATTTATTAAACAGCAACTCCATTAATGTTTTTCAGCAGAAAGGTTAGTTTTCTTCAGTTGCCACCCTCCTCAAGCAATGACAGTTCCCAGACCCTGAGGGCACTGATGTCTCTGCCCACTCCTGGAGCTTCCCCTACCCAACCTATGGCCCAGGACACCATTTCAGCTCCCCCAGATCTCAGTCCCTGTCCCCATGATGCCATAGGACCTTGATCTCCAGCCCCCACAGCCCTGTCCTGCCCAGCCATGGGCCCCACTGAACCAGGTCCACCCATGGGCCAATGTCCCAGCCTGTCCCCAGGATGAAGCCAGGCCAGGTTGCCCCACTCCCTGGCTGGGGTGGTGGGACAAGCCCTGCCTGCAAGGCCCTGCCCTGCCTATCCCAAGGGAGTCCCTAGGGACCCAGGGAGCCCCCAG